AAGGAACCGCTCATCCCTCACTCTTCGTGCAAAATTTGCCAAGCTTATCCACTACTTCACAACCCCCCGGGTAATAGTAACAGACAATGAGAGAGGATTTATGAGCCCTCTAGTAAGCAATTATATAAGAGGTTTAGGGATTGAATTGTACCAAACTCCAGTGCAAAGAAGTGAAGTGAATGGGCAGATCGAAAGATTTCATTCAACTTTGATCGAAATCTATCGATGTCTGCGAAAGGAAATAAGCAATACGAGTCCCAAAGAACTAGCCTACATTGCAGTCGACCGCTATAATACAACGATTCACTCTGTGACCAAAAGGAAGCCTAGTGATGTATTCTTTAATAGAACCGAAAGAATAAACTACCAAGGACTGACAGATTTTAGAAGTAAGGTCCACAGGGAAATTAAAGATCGAATTAGAAAAAATCAAGAATCGCGAAACCTTCGACTAAATAGGAGAAGGAAAGGCATAAAAAAGTTTATGGTAGGAGACGATGTCTATGTAAGGGACAAACAGATTAAGAGTAAACAAAAACCACTCTATAAAAAGGAAAGGGTTCGCAAGGACAACCGAGTAACCCTAGAGACGGACACTGGTAGGAAAATTCACAAGGTACATATAAAAACTAGGGCTCAATAATAACATAAATAATAAAAAAAAAAAAAAAAATAAAAAATAAAAAATAGGAAATAAAAAATTTAAACACGATCAGGTGCACACCGAGGGAAAAGTTAAAAACGCCACAAGTAAACAGAAACATTTGTAAAAGAGGCATCTACAGCCCACTAATAAACAGCAGAAAATGCTATATAAAAGAGGCATCTGTAGCCCACCAAAAAACAGCAATAAATGCTAGTTAGGCGTCTACAGCCCACAAACAAAAAAAAAAAAACAAAAAAAAACAAAAATAAAAAAATACTATGTGAAAAAGGCTTCTATAGTACACTACAAAATAGCAAAATGCTAAATAAAAGAGGCATATACTATAGCAAAAAAGGCAACTCTTCTACCGCAAGACTTGATAAGTCCACAGAAATCAAAGCGGACCACAAGTTTTTGTTTTATTTGCAAAAAATTTAGCAAACTTTGATTTCAGTTAAAGATTATTGCAGAACTTTTGGATTCTGTGGTCTTGTCAATAATAAATTCATAATCTTATAATCGCGGGGACGGGAAATAAAGTAATTAAGTAATTAGATAGTATAATAGTATAGTATAATAGTATAATGGAAAAACATAAAAAATTTAAACAAAAAAAAAACAACAGAATACTAATACTTAACGGATAAGCGAAACACTAACAATTAATTAAGTAAAGAATGTTTAAACAAAAGCACTAACAGGTACCGGATAAGAAAAACACATACTAACGGCTATTTAAGAGGAAATTATTTGGAAAGAACCTAGACTAATCTCAGGCAAAGCACAGTTTTTTTTCTCACCGTCCCCGAAGTATGGTAACAAGAAATGTAAAATTCATAAAACTTGCGGTGTGGATAACTAAAAAGGCCACAACAATTCAAATTTTTTTTTTTTTTTTTTTTTTCTCTTTATCATAAATTACTCGAAAGACAGTTTACTCTTCATATCCGGCGTTTGCGGCCTCAACATATACAGCTACGACTCCCCTCTGGTGACTATTGATCATGGGCATGGCTGGATCTTGAATGGACACTTTAGTCTCGTCCACGTGATTGACCTTAACTACTTTAACATAGCGTTGGAAAAACTAAGAGAGACAACACGGTATGAGATCGAAAACGAAGCAGTGAGGACAGTTTTACAATTCCACCTGAACCAGACTGAGCTACGTCTTGAAGAACTTCAGATGACCAAATTGAGAAAGACACGTTCTATTGACTGGATCGGTTCGGCATGGAAATGGATTGCTGGCTCTCCGGATGCTGCGGATTGGGACTATATCCTTCGAAGCTTAAACGAGGTGGTGACCAACAACAACCACCAATATCGCGTCAATGACAAGCTCTTTAACGGAACCCGTGAAGCAATTGAGAAAGCAAATCAAATGATGGTTCACATTAATGCAATCAGCAAGAGTGTTAAAGAAGAAAACCTTGAACTTCTGGACCTAAGTAAGGTTCTCATCCTTAAAGAACAAGTATCGGAGGTGGTGCAAGCGTGCCAAATGGCAAAAACGGGCATCGTGAACACGAACCTGCTTGATCGAGAGGAAATCCATAGACTTATACTCGAAGAAGAGTCCTTACCATACCAAAACTCAATCGAGGCTATAGAACACGGATCGGCATCCGTATACTCGAACGGAACACTTCTTCTGTATGTTCTTTCCATGCCAAAGGTGAAGCCGGACAGCTATCGACTCTTAATGACACGAGCTGCTATTATAAATGGACAACACGTGGTACTCGACTATGAGAAAATGTTGATAAATCAGGACGAAACGTTCGGTATTAAAAATGATTGCTCGTCCATTGGCAATTACTCAATTTGCGCACCCAAATCGTTGGCTAGACTACCCGAAGACGGATGCATAGCGAGATTGTTAAAAGGCGGAAATGCGAAATGTCACTTCGAACCATCCAGCAGCATAATCATAGAAATGATGGACGAGACATCACTATTCCTAACGAACTTTTGGGGTAAAATCCAGGGAAAAAACTACGAAAACGTCCTGAATGGAACATATGTCGTTTTGCTCAACAACGAAACCATCGTAGTGGGAAACCAAACGTTTACCAGCAGGTCGACAAGGATGGTACAGGCTTTGCCACCTGCATTAACAAACGTGACGAGTAATGGCCTGAAGCTGAATTTGGACTACATCCACGAGCTTAGCGTAACAAACATCCGACACCTACGAAAATTGGGCGAAACTTTTCACTTTTCGCTGATTATCGACACCGTTGCTTTGACGATCCTTGCATCAATATGCTACGTAATTTGGAGGAAGATTACTACAACTATCTACTTTCCCAGGCTCAATCGCTCAATCAAACAAGATCAGCCAAACGCCCTCTTCAAAGATCTACGTCAGGAACTACCTCATCAGCGGGACGCAGATGTTTAAAGGGGGGGTAGTTAATACGGGGGCTAACACACATACCTGTGTGAATGTGCTGACGCCGCACTTCCCCAAACACGCGCATAACCAGTGCGGGTAATTGAACTCTCATGCAAAAATAATCGAACATACGTTAGCATAATTGAATCTATGGGAAGCGCAGCGTCAGCAGTTAATTCAGCCGGTTAGACAGTAAGTCATAGTATTAAGAAATATGTTGGATTCATTCCGTTTGGGACAGGAGAAGCAGATGGTAAATATACTTGTACAAAACTAATTATTGTCTTTTATTTTAGGAAGGACAACTCGGGGCCGCCGTGCGGCCCCCAACTTTAACTTTTTCGGGCTCACGGATGTGAGCTCGATGACTTACATGTTTTACACCTTTCCGAAAGCTACCACTATATGGTAAGCCGGGGTGTATCAACGTTGAGTAAATTAGCGTCCTTAAATTTCGAAATATTGAAGTTTTAAGCATTTCTGAAATTTACCGTTATATGAAAAGCGGCCGTAATTTTGGTCCGATTTCAATAATTTTCAACTTTTTGCTTTTATGTGGCAAGCACAATAACCACACCGAGTTTGGTACAAATTGGTAGAACGGTTAACGAGATACATATATGTGATCATAAGTGGGCGCCCATTTTCCAAAATTTTATCATAAGCGTATTTCTTAGTAAAGAATTGTTCCAAGGATCAATTTTGAATAAATTAGCTTTAATATTTACTGATTTATCGAAGATTTCGTATTTCTCTAAATTACCGTTATATGGGATGTGGGCGTGGTTATTGTCCGATTTTAAAATTTTTCAGTCATTTGGTAAGCTGTACGAAGGCCACCAAGTGTGCTAAGTTTGAAAGAGATTGGTTCAGCGGTTACCAAGATAAACATATGTAACCATAAGTGGGCGTGGCTACGCGCATTTTCCAAAAATTTATAATATGCTTATTTTTCGTCTAAAAGTTATTGTAAGNTGATTTATCGAAGATTTTGTATTTCTCTAAATTACCGTTATATGGGATGTGGGCGTGGTTATTGTCCGATTTTAAAATTTTTCAGTCATTTGGTAAGCTGTACGAAGGCCACCAAGTGTGCTAAGTTTGAAAGAGATTGGTTCAGCGGTTACCAAGATAAACATATGTAACCATAAGTGGGCGTGGCTACGCGCATTTTCCAAAAATTTATAATATGCTTATTTTTGGTCTAAAAGTTATTGTAAGTATCAATTTGGAGTGAATAATCTTCAGTAGTTACTAAAATATCGCAGTTTTCGTATTTCTGAAAATTACCGTTATATGTGAGGTAGGCGTGGTTATTGTCCGATTTTTCCCATTTTAAATACCATCTGTCCTACGCCCGAAAGAAGTGCACGTGCCAAGTTTCGTTAAGATATCTCAATTTTTACTCGAGCTATCGTGTGCACAGACGAACGGACGGACGGACAGACAGTCACCGCTTAATCGATTTCTCTTTTCATTCTGATCATTTATGTATACATTTGTCTATATCTATCTCGATTCGTTTTGCCTGTTACAAACAACCGTTATGTGAACAAAGTTATAAAATACCCTTGTGCACAAGTGCGCTCGGGTATAATAAAAATTTGCTCAAGCTGCGATTCGAACCAGGGTTTTCAAGTTTGTTAAGTGTATGCTCTCTCTGTGTGCCAACGCTGCGCATGAAATTTCATTGACTTAGTGCATACATATCACTAAATTGTTAAGTTTACCCGTTAGAGATGACTCGGGGACTAATTGATCTGCAATTATACCCGTAAGCGATGAGTCGACACTAATTTATCTCCAATTGTTCCCGATTGAGACTTACCCGGAATACCCTCTTTAGAGATTAGTCGCAACATTTTTTGCAGGAATATTTACATAAAAGATAAACCCGCACATACAAACTACAAGTATTAATATCTGTTCGAGTATACAAATATTATTACTAACCGTAGTAGTGGTGCACGCTGGACTGATGTGGTGCCAACTGTATTGCCCGCTTGAACCAAACCTCCGCCTCTGCTGCACGGCTACTCTGTAATCGCAAAACAAAAATACACAATACAATGAAAGCAGCGATATTATGGTGACCAAATAAATAGAATGAAGGTCGTCGGATGTGGTACATGTAGGATTATTTAAGACTTACATTTCGCGCCAATGTGATACCATATGAGAGATGCGCCGCCACTTGATTTGGTTGCAACTGCAGAGCCGCGTAGTGATATCGCTCCGCTTCGTTCCATTGCTGCAGCCGGCCAAAAACATCCCCTATACGATTGTACACAACGTCACGTTGGTAGTCAGTTGATGAGAAAGCGTAGAGCACTTCACGATAAACGGCCAGAGCGCGTTGTAACTTGTTTTGTTCGGCATAGAGAGCTCCCAGTTGCAGGTACGCAGAGATGCGTGCATTGTTGTGAGCGTTTCGATCACGAACCCCAGTTCCATTCAATTGCGTGCCCTCCTTTAGAATATGCGCCGCTTCGCGACACCTTCCCAACGCAATGAGTGATGTGCCCAAATTTAGGAATGCCACTGTGGTTTAGTATTAGACAAAAATTTATAAAAATTTATTTAATTTACCCTTAGTCTTCTATATATGTACATTAGACTGCATCACTCCCCTTATAAAAAGCAATCAGTACTGTTTTTCCACTGGAATTATAAAATATATTATATTTTAAGACTTCCACCAAAATATCTCGGAAAAAAATTAGGATTTACGTGAGCTGGACCGATTTGAAAATAAGTCCAAAAATAGAGCTTTTTATTAATAAACACGCGTTTTTAAGTGTTTTTTGAAAACAATTGCCTCAGATGACAAAGCAGTTTAAGCTTCAAAAATTTGTATTTTTTTGTATTTAAAAAAAATTTGTAATGGAATCATAACTTGATATTTGATGCTGTTTTTGAAATTTTTTCAAAAACTGGTTTAGGAAAAACTTGAATAACTCTGCCAAAACTTTACCAATTTAGACTTATGAGCAGAGAACGGATTTTACGGAAATTGCCTTTTTCTGCTAAAGAGATAGAGTATATTCGATTAAGAATGTCCACGATTTAGCTTTCCCTGATTCCATATATACACATTTGATGTTGCCTTTCTTTGCCTTTTCTACCTTTAAAAAAGTGATTATAGCATTTACAATTTTTTTTTAAAGATTACAAAATGTACACATGCCCATGCGGCTTATANAAACCCGTTTTGCATCGTTCTCTGTATACGAGCAGAAGTATTGTTCGTTATCGACTGAGCTCAAGACGAACATGTTGGCCACAACACCCGATTGCTTTTCATACATACTTGATCGGGTTCGGGTGCTTTGCAGCTCAATATACCCGGGTGTTCGAGTTTCAACCCGAGTGTGCACAAAATTTTCTTGATTGGCTTATGGCGTTTTCGTTTCTACAAAAAATGTTGCCTTCTCATCGCGCTCTTCTTAGTGTTTGTGCGTAGAGGGCAAAGAGAAGGTTGCATCATCACGACGCCTACATCCATATAGGTATTAAATGTGTGTAGATCGGCAATGCCCAAGCCCTAAGCACTCGGTGCACATTTATTTATTGTAAAAGTACTTATGTACCTACATAGTTTTAGGCTGTGTGTTCCAATATATACACACACAGCATTTCACGCGAAACTATACGAAATACATAGATGCACAAACATTTTTGTCTACTTCGCTTCTAATTTTTTTCATTGTGTATGCACAAGCACAAAGCAACAACATTTTCGTATGCTTTGTGGGAACATATTGGCGCCAGTTACCTTCAGCGTAAATTTCATTGTTGTCCTGCATTTTATCGCAATGTTCGGGTGTCCGTTTCATTGTTACACAAATTTTCGGGTTAGCTGCGGGTGTCCGAGTGTGGTGTTCGCTTGTGCTCAATTTATAGCGAGGGCGATCGAGCAGACTCGTTCGTACTCAAAGCTGCTCTCTGGCAGGGACCTCTTGCCAAACTGGTGTTGGAAAAATTCTCAGCTAACGTAGGCTTGGAGACAATAAGAGGTGTGGATAAAATTGTAAAGGGCGAGGAAAACGCCCTTATTCCTGATAATATGAACGTTTCAAACGTTCCATATTTAAATTGGGCTCCACTTGTATCAACTTACGTCGAGCGCACATGTAGTACATTCAAGGCTTTTCTTCGAAAATCGAATGAAAATGCTGCCAGAAAACTTCAAAATGCATCTTGTGGTTCAATGTTACTACAACTATACAGATTAAAGTTTTATGAGTTAGAAACTCTAAAGGATAAAATATACCTTGTTTATACCGACACATAAAGCGCTGTGACTCAGTTCGGTGTGGTTGAAATCAGATGCATAAACAAAATTTCAATGCGTGTTGAAATCGAAAAGTGTATTGACTCAAATTTGTTTTCAAATCAGTTTTTTTATTTCTCACATCGGTTAAAAAAACCGTATAAACGAATAATTAATTTAACGCAAAATCAAAATTGACTATTCTTCCTTATACGTTTTTAATTTTATTTATTATTATAATAAATTTGTATTGCTGTTCGCTTCCTTTCGGTCCACCGCGTATTATTATGAATCTATTATGAAATAAATATCGAATGAAAGTAACGAAGTTTGTTTACTTTTCAATACGGTTTAATCGAGTGCACTATAAAGACTGAGGAATAAACGTTAGAAAGAAATATGTGTTGAATCAAGTCGGTTTTTCGTTAATGCGGTTTCTTCGTAGGTATAACAAAGGTAATAGTCAAAGATTCAAAGTAAAAATTTTTCATATAATGAAACTAGTTCATAGTTTTTCTCTTTTTACTTGTAATATAAACATTTCTAAAATAAATGTATTTTTTGATTGTTCTCTGTATTTTCTGTCTTTCTTTAGTGCCTTATTCTGCTTTTTTTACCTTTTCCTGCCTTTTTCGCTATTTTGTTTTGACTTTTTTGCAATACCTAGTGCCTTTTCCTGCCTTTTTCGCTATTTTATTTTGCCTTTTCCAGCATATTTCGTTATTTTATTTAGGTCCTAAAAATCCGTTCCCTGCTTATGAGGTACCATTGGTAAGTATTTTCTCACCCTTTTTATTTCTTTGATAAAAGGCTCACTCAAAGTATGACAGAAGAAGGTAAGATAAACGAGTTTTGGAACAGTTATTCAAGTTTTTCCTTAACAAATCCTTGAATAAAGTTAAAAAAACACCATCAAAAATTTCATTGTTACGATTCCGTTGAAATTTTTTTTACATTTATTTTAAATATTTTTATGCGAGTTTTTTAAGCTTAAAGCGTTTCGTCATATGAGGGAGATTTTTTCATAAGAAACTTTAAGAAACTATTTTTATTCATAAAAAACCCCATTTTTAGAGGTATTTTCAAACCGGTCCAGCTGACGTAAATCTTAACATTTTTCCGAAATGTTTTATTGAAAGTCTCATTTACATTTTTTTTTGTAAGTCATTTCCGGTCAAATCCGTCCCTGATGAATATAAAAATTTTTCCTCTTAATTTCAAGGTTCATAGAGCCTCATAATACCAAAAGTAAGGAAAAAATATTCAAAAGTTGTTTTGGGTAGCTATTAGGGCTACCTTAAATTTGTGCAATATATTGTACAAAAGTCAGCAAAGGAGTAAAATGAGCTTATTTATATACAAAATAATTGATTTTACTTCAGATATGTTGGAATGAATATTTTATATCTTTTTAAGTATATTTAGTTAAGATTTGCATTAAAAAATTTAAAATTTTCTCCTAGAGAAGAGAATAATATAAAGAAATTTTGAAAATTTTCATATACAATCACCTTACCTGTCAGTGGCGTAGCCAGGGCGGGCGGGTTTGGAGGGATAGATCCCCCCTTCGTCATTGAACTACAATTATTTACTTTTGAATTAATAACACAATACTATTTTATCCTTCTGATTTAAAATTTTTATATTTCAGACGGATGACAAATTATCTTTTAATGAATATATGAGTAGTCCACTTGCAAACAGCGTTATGTGATTTTATAAAAGTAAGCCATAAATTAAAAAAAAAAACGTCTACCACAACAAGTAACATCCGAACTGTATCTTTTTTTATTACCAGAAAATTTGGATAAATAAGAGCCTAATACCATTAAAAAAATAAAATTGCAGTATGGTTGATTTGCAAATTTTATATTTAAAAATTTAATATTGCAAGTTTTGAAACAGTAACTTTTACATAGCTAGCTTTTTTTAGCTTTTCGCGTTCTCTGCTCTAGGAAGATTGGTGTGCTTCTTTTTTGCGACCTCTTCCACTACACGGTTAAAAATTTCGGTATGAATCTTAAACTTTTTGGACTACATATATGACCAAGTTTAAAAAAAAAGACAGCACTTATGTTGGGTTTAGAATTAAAAAAAATAAAAAATCTTAAATTTCATGCTGCGTCTGATGGGGATTGAACCCGGACAGCCTTGGTAGCAACCAATTCTATCAGCATCTTTGCACTCTCAGCTACAGCCACGCATGTAAATGTGCTTTCATATATTGAGTTTGAATCAACACCACATTTCGCTGTGCGCAAAAATTTTCTATTTCGGTTTAGATTTTAAACCAAAGTTTCTATATATGAAACCTAGAAACTAGAACTAAAACATTTTGGTTTGATTTTTAAACCACGAACTTTTTGGACTAAAATTTAAACCACAATATATTAAAAATTGCTTAAAACTATTGACTGGTTTAAAAAGTAGACTATAAAAGATTAAAAAAGGCAGTAGTCCCAGCGCGGTTTTAAAAATTAAACCCAAATTTTTGACCGTGTAGTCACCGAAACTACCATGTTTTCCTGCAGTTTTCTAAGTTCATACGAAGAGGAGACTTTTGAAAGTGTATAAATAAGTATTATAGCGACTTTTGCAAGAGTAGTTAATATTTCATGCTATTTTTTTCAGAATATAGAAAAATTTTTCACTCTGCTGTTAGTGTACATTAGGGATGCACAGCAGGGGTGCGCGCAGTCGGGGGCGCGAGCAAACTGCGAGCACGCGAGCGTGCTAGGCGAGGTGAAGTGAGCTGTACGGAAATGGCATCGTATACATATTGTTACGATTATCCTCGAAACCTTGAGGGATTACCCAAATATACTCGGGCTCGTATCGCTGGATTGTTAAATAAATGCTAACGATGACCGAATTGTAGTACAATTAACTTTATTGTACAACAAACAATTTACAATACTTGCTAATACAGTAAAAACACTTTACAATACTTGTTAAAGCAATAACAACGCTTTACTACTTGTTAACACAATTAAACTTATAGCTTGCTTATTCGCAACTCGATTCTCCGCTCACTTTACTTGTAGCTTGCTGACTTGTAACT